ATGACTGATAATACCAACTGCTTGTACAACGTCCATTTCCAGTGCTCTGTCTGTTCCAGTTTTGAGCATTGTTTATGTGATGGGTTTTCTAATGCTTCTCTTGGGATGTCAGCGATGTTTGGCAATAAACAACACTTGCTTTAAAGTCACAAAATACTTTACATTACAACACCCTGTTTTATCTAATAACTCCTTAGCATCTCAAGCTCTACTCTCTGTTCCACCTTAGTTCCAGGAAAAAAGAAAACCATGGGAAAACAATCAAACCAGCACCTCCCCACCTTGATCTGTATCTGCTCTTTTATCTGAAACTTTCCACATTTGGTGTCTCTCTTGGTAATTTGGTCTGTGTATGCAGGAAAGCAGTTTACTCCTTTCTCTTTCTTTCTTGCCACCTATAAAAGATTAAGCAGAGTCTTCTGACTGGGCTGACTGAAAATTGCAACTTGAATTGTAAATAGACTTGAGCAAAACAGTCCTTTCCACAGTTCGAAGAAAAAAATATTTTGGCTACAAATATATAGTGGTTTCTTTCATGCAAGCGGAAAAGTTTTTGGATTCTCAGATGGAGTCCTTGAGGTTTTGCTTATGAATATATCTCCTGAGAAGTTTGTTTTTTCCTGGGAGCTGACGAGGCAGCAGCTGAGGTACCAGTGGTTGCTTCATGTTGCTTTCCTGCGTATGTCCCTACCTCCCTGCTCATCTCCTCTCTCTCCATTACCTTGCCCATGTTCTTTGACTCTGATGTCAGAATTGACATGAAATAGTGTCACCTTCTTGCCTTCACTTCGGAGGGGTGACACAAACTCTCATTGTCTCTCATGGCAAGGTAATGTATTCTGCTCCCACGGTTGCTGGAGAAGTGGTGGTGGGTGGGAGCCTTGGCAAGCGAATCCCTCCACTCTCGTCCTCTTGACTCGCCGAGTGTAAATGCCTGTGGGATAACAAATGGACTGGAAAGCATTTTACAACCTGAGTAAATGAAAGATGGGAAAGGGGTGAAAGAAATGGCCAGCCTTTCCTGTGAACGCTGCTTTCCTCACCACCTGGATGCAAGCGACTGCTATGCCCCGTAAATCAGCAAAATTCTGGAAATGAATTACCCATTTGAGAGGAGCTCAGCCTCATTGGAGTCGTGTTTGCCTGGATCTGAAGGCTCAGTCAAAGTCCTCCTCCTTGTATAAGGTACAAGCCTGCTGGAGTTGTATGGCCAGCAAGGTTTCTGTTGCTGCAGACAGACATGTAAGCAGGGAAAAAACAGTAGTCTAGGCCAAGCCTAACCTCTGCTGGAGTGGATGGAGCAGCTGCCAGTGCAAGACTACCCTTGCAGCCATCCTTTGCACTGCAGGAGAAATCCCACATCGGACCTGACACGGCCATGGTGTTTCCCACACACCTTTTAGCTCCCCTGCTGCTCTTCCAGTTCGGCTGCAGCAGAGCTGGGCTGATTTTCACCCATCCCGATCAGGCAGGATTTGTGCAAAGCAGCTCGCTTTTTCACCAGCTGCAAAACCAACTGCGCAGGTGGGGGGTAACCAGAGCAGCTTGACTAGTTGGGAACTGCTGCTTTACGATATGCATGAAGTTTCATAAGAGGACTGTGCAACTCCTTTTCGACAAAGAAAATGGCGGTAAGAAGGAAGAGCACTTACCCAAGCACATACGTGTGTCAGAAGGTTCCCAGCTACATCCCTACCTGAGTTTCGAATGTGTTCATTCACGGGTGGTGAGCGGGCTTCGGAAGAGGAAGCCTGTGTGCATCTGTACTCCTGGGGTCTGAAGTGGTCTTTGCCCTTCGTGAAGGCATGTTGTTTAAATTTTGCATTTGTTTTTCTTGATGTCGACCTCATCTGTTTGCCGGTGCTAGTAGGGCCATGTCACTTACCTGTGCAGCACCTATCCCTTGGAGCGTATCTCTCGTGTACGGGAAAATGTAATTGTGGGCCAGCCATGCAAGAACAGAGTAACAGCTGGGAAGGGGCCCAGGGCACAGAGGAGAGGAAAAAAGGAGATAGAGTTTGGGTATGATTCATTGAACGATGATTACTGTAAGAAAAAATACATGGTTTTGGAAATACTGGAAGCGGAAGAAGAAAAAGTTAGGGAAAATTAGGGGAAAATCAGAAAATCGTGCGTGATATATAACGTGTTGAACATAGAAGTTAGGTAGGACTTCTGCATTGGTGAGTTTAAAGACATTCTGGTTTTGGCTTGCTCTTACTTGAGTGCTACCAGCGTGTATTTCCCTTGTTCACTTTGCTCCTGATATTTCCTGTTGGAAAGCCAACTTACTCTCTGTCTGCTGTCTTGTATTTGGTTAGCGGAGAGTTACAAAACATCTCTTGGTATGACAAAAGAGGAGCTCTTTCCACCTCAGCCTCCTGGTGCTGTTCACCCCTCTCTATCCTAACAGAGCTCACATGGTTTCCTGACGTCACTGGGGATGGGACAGGGTGGCCCATGCCTCCCAGGACATGCCCCCCACCTTGCTGAGGGTAAGCACCAATGGCAAGGGTACAGCAGCCATTGTAGGTGCTTTCTGTTGGTGTCACTTCAAGGTCTTTGCACCTTAGACCCTCTTTGTCACTGTTTTTGTCTCCGTCCATCATCCTCAGATACGTCTTCATGATGGTAGCAACCAAGGGCGGCTGGGGAGGAAACTCCTCTTCCCTGTTGTTTCCCTCCCTCCCTAAAGGGAGCGGTGATTACAGGGTCGCTTCAGTCCCAACATAAACCTGTGCTCTGGTCAGAAAGACCCTGTGTGACGGTGAGGGCCATGCAAGGGCTGGGGCGGGAGCGGGTAGCCTAGGAAGGACAAGGAACCTTCCAGCAGCAGCAGGGAGTCACATCGGTTGCCATTAATCCTTCTGTTCCTCCCTGCGCTTGGGCCAAGGGGAGGAGCTGCCAATGAGAGCCAGATGTGCTTGTCCTGCCCCCGAATGCAGTGTGTGGAGGGGGGCAGCAGGCAGGAACCCACAGCCGTGCTTCCATTCTAGACATCTTCCCTGTGTAGGTACAGCCTGGGTTTGGCTTCTGGGCTCGCTCCCTTGCCTGTGCCAGCAGCTGTGAGACCCGACTACCTGTGTGTAAGCAGGAGCACCGTGCGTGGGCCCGGCTTCTCACACTTGCCTGGCTCCCATTTCTCTGGGTTGTGGAGTGGTGCTTCCCTTTAATTATTACGCATTGGCATTTCAGCCTGATTTTTAGAAGTGAGCTCTTTTTGTTTATAGCAGCTTGCTTTTTTTCTTCTTTTTTTTTGCCTTAATACAGCCAAGAGACAATCAATGAGTCAAAACAGAATTCAAATGCGGATTTGTAGGGCACTTGTAGGTGACCTTTGTTTTCAGATGCCCACATCCTCAGATTCTCTAGCATTATACACAGATTATGGCTCAGTTGCGTGTTTTAATGGGCAGATAATGAGATGAGCAATGAACTTTGTGGAAAGCTTTTGTGTCATCCACTGTCTGTGTAAACGGATCTGTTTTGATTAAAAGGTGAGATTATTTTTTTTGACAGGTCACTTCTACCCCTTCCACCCCCTCAAGGAAAAGCATATTGAGGATTATGCTCTATTAAGTGATCATTCACAATTACTGGAAATGCTGCTAAGCTTTGACATTTGTTTAATGGCCATTTGTTGTCACTTGTGCGAGGAGGACATGGGGTCATTGCAAGTCATGTTGCAAGATGACATTCAAACTACTAAGTGCCTGAGAACTATCTTCTTACCTTCTGTCATTGCTCCTTGCTTGTGAAAGAAGCCTTCAATAGGAAATCTAGGCAATTTGGAGACAAGCACATGTTGTACTGTGTCAAATGGAGAACTTAAACTGCTCTACTAGAGTTTCTAAATCCCTTTAGTTACTCAGCAGCTATCAGGCTTGCAGATGGATGCCGAAATGCCTGGTAGGTTGTATGCTCCCATGGCTGCATGCTGTTAACCAGAAGGAGGCAGGGTGCAGGACTTAAAGCAAGGAAAGTTTCAACTTGCAGAAAGCGCAACTTGCAAAGTTTGTGTCCTGGAACAGTTGCTGGGAAGTGGCACTGGGGATGCAGTTACATGTGTCATCATCAGCTTTGGCCTCCAGATCCAGTCCAGCTTATTTCCTATTGACAGGTACACTATTTGTATAGAGCTTGGAAGGGGTACAGCTCCAGCCCTTTGTTCTTCTTGAGCACCTTATCTGGTTTAGTATTTTGGACACGTGTTACATCTTCAGCAAAATTAGTTCTACAAACTGGTAAGGAAACAGAGGAGGTCATTAAGGTGGACATCTTAGGTGGTTTTGCCTTCTTGTTGGAGTAACCGTGAAACAGCGAAGGGTGCTGCCTCTTACTGCATCTTGGCTTTATGTTTTGGTTCCAGGATGTGTGTCAAAGAGTGTGCGTCAAAGACCCACATGTGGATGAACTTCTGCATTTTTTGCTTCTATGATGTATACCCAACTTTTTAACTTGACCTCTGTGTTGTTGTTGGTGCTAACCTTTAACATTTAATTGCACCAGTTGGTTGCCTGAGGCCTTCACATGTCCTTTGAAAAGCATTTCCTGCTACTTACAAATTAGTTTGATTAATATGTGGACGTATATTGCTTCGATCTATGTCCATATTGTTCATACATGAAATAATACATCCATATGTCTCTGTAACAGTGTGTTTGTAGTAGTAGTGACCTCAACTCTGGTGTCTCAGCATTTTGTGTTCTGTGATAAAAGTGATTATATTAAAAATTACTTCAAGAAACTGCCAAGAATATGAATGTGTTTTAGAAAAGAAAGCATTTTGTTACAGTTTTTTTAATCATCTTGTTAATTGGGTTCTGTGGTGTTTTGATCTCTTTTCTGCTGTAATTTATTGGCCTGGGTCACAGATTGGAGAAGCAGAAGTTGGGACACTTGATCAGAAGCAATGCTCGTGGGTCCCTGTGCAGCCTTACCACTGGTAGCTGTGAGTTAGCAGAGAGCATCCCACTGAAAGTTTCTCTGTTTACTTGCAGACAGCCAGTCTGATGCAGAGCCACTAGCGGCAGGAAACGAAGTCTTGGACCTGACCTCCTGCGAGAAGGAACAGCCAGAGGAAATAACAGACCTACCAGAGAGTGAGTGCGGCCGCATGGAGGAGCAAAAGGCTGACTCCCTTCTGGCAGAAGAGGATGCTGAAGAAAAAGGAAATGGATATGAAGAGGGTCCTGAGGAAGATTCTGTAAGTAACAAAAGTCTTGACCTCGATTTTGCCAGCAAATTAATGGACTTCAAGCTGGCAGAGAGTGACCAGAGTGCAGGCAGCAGCTCTCAGACTGAAAGGAAGCATGCCTGTGACATTTGTGGCAAAACCTTCAAGTTTGCTGGCACTCTTAGCCGTCACAAAAAGGCCCACACTCGTGAGGACAGAAAGGATGAAAGGAGCAGTGAGGATGAAAGCAAAAGCATTCAGGATGATGCAGGAGCTCCCTCGATGCAGGACTCTGGTCTTGAGCAGGAAGAGTCTCCGATGGACTTGAAGGTAGTGGAGTCTCCTGTGGACTGTGAGGCAACAGGAAAGGAGAATGAAGAGAGCGAAAGCATCTCTGAGGGGGAAGGCACAGAGAGAAAGGCCACTGAGAAGAGCAGTGATGACAGAAAACCAAAGACTGATGGGGCTAAGAGTACTGCAAAAGCAGACAAAAGAAAGAAAGTCTGTACTGTGTGCAACAAGCGTTTCTGGTCTCTGCAAGATCTGACACGACATATGCGGTCTCATACAGGTAAGAGAAGGCTTGAGAGCAGAACAGATTACAAGCAGGTCTGCCACCAGACTGAGGCTCTGCTCTGTAGGTGCACGATGGCTGCTAGCACTTGAGGTTGGAGACACTGCTTTTAGTCCTACGGGTGTCTGCAAGGTGTCTTCTCTGCCCCAGTCCCCCATGCTGCGTACAAAGCCTGTTGAGGGAGTGGGAATTGTCACCACTGCCTTACCTTCAATTCCCAAACTGTTTTTCCCCATGTTTGTTTGCAGAGTTTAGAGGTGAGGGCAAGTGTAGAGATCCCCAGGCAGTTATTCACTCCAGCTTTTGACTCCCTTCTTGCGTTGTGCATGTGGCTCTACCTCTTCCCAGTATGCTGATGAGCAGTGGAGAAACCTGGCAGTATATGATAAGACTTCATCTCTGAGTGAACGTTTAGAGA